TATAGGGTCTTGTGCTTGAGCAGGGGGTTGGACTAGAGGACCTCCAAGGTCCCTTCCAACTTCTATATCTAAATCCGCCTTTCTTTAGAATGCTGTTCTCAACCAGTTGGCTGCAATTGAACAAGAATAAAAGATGTATTTTCATGATTTGATTGGTGGATTATTTGCGGTGAAATCCATGCCAGCTGTTTTGAGATCACACAGGTAGATTTACAGGTCACTGACCTGTTCCTTCAGGTCTTCCACCACCATTGTAACTGAGTCCTTGCGTCCTTCCCAGCAGTAGAGCCTTCTTGAGAGACAGTTGGGTCTTTCCATAAAGTCTCCAAGGTATATTTTCCATTTAGATATTGTACTCCTTTGAAATAATAGAAATTGAAAACCGTACTACTTTTCAGTTCCCAGAACAATTAACTAATGGAACAGTTTGCCTCCAGAAGTTGTGGGTGCTCCATCACTGGAGATTTTGTTAAGAAGAGATTGGACAGCCTCTTGTCTAAAATGGGGTAGGGTCTCCTGCTTCAGGAGGGGGTTGGACTAGAAGACCTCCAAAATCCCTTCCCACTCTGTTACATTGTTCTGTTAATTTTTACAAACTTTGCAGTACATTTGTGTGGTCCCCTGAGATGTAAAAGTAAGCTCCCATTTTTTCTTAAATACACTATTTTTTTAAAACACATGCTGTTGTCACAAACGGTATCCTTTCAAAATGCCATTTTTTGGATATATTTTATCATGTCAGATATTTGGGATGGAGGGATCACCTACAAACTGAATGCACACTTTCCATTGCTAAGCAAGACTCTGAATTAGTTTCGCCTCATTTTAGGACCTGTCTTGCCACAGTTGATAAGTGAATCACTGCGGCTTTTTAAGTTAGAAACACCGTGGTTAAATGACCCCTGTCTCCCTGTTGACTTTGCTCGTGAGAAGGTCACAAAAGCTGATCACATGACCCCGGGACCCTTCAACTGTCATAAGTCCATGCCAGTTGCCAAGCGTCTGAATTTTGATCACATGATCGCAGGGACGTTGCAACGACTGCAAGTGTTAAAAAAACTGCCATCGCTTGGGTGGCTGGTAGTCCTTCCTGATACCTGGAGAAAAGCGAGATTTTTGATCTTTGGGTGTTTATAACTTTCTCTTAACTCTTCTGCTAAGGAGTTTTGTGCCCCCCAAGGGGGGGGGGGAAGCATTCTCTCTTTGTGTCTGTTGTATCACAACCAGGGAGAAAGGCATTTGAACGAGGCAGAACAAGGGAAGAGAGATCCCTTGAGACATGATCTGTACTGGTGGCTGCATTTTGCCAAACCGGTATTGGAGATAACCAAAGCGTTAACATGGCCGGTAACCACCAAAGAACATAATTTCATCACCCTTGAGATAATCTGTCAGATCAGGAGATTCGGGGCAGTTCAAACAAGTATAAAAATTTATTGCAAGCTTAAGCTCTCTACAAGAATCTGAATGACTAACCTAACCGACAAGGGAAATGAGCAGGAGATAAAAAGAAGGCCTTCGAGATTCTTTGCAGCGATTTGTGACTTATGACACGTTTGACCCCTCCTCTCCTACATAACCTCTTTTATCCAGATGCATCAAATTCCTCTAATTCCCCCCCCCCTTTTTTTTTTTCTTGTCTTCTCACTGATAGATAGATGTTCTTCTCCTGTTCAGTTAATATATCTGGCCCTTGTTCTCCCTAAGAGACATTAGCCAGAACAGCAGTAATAACTGGAAACCAGTTAAAAGAAAAACAAAGAGAGAGGCTAAGATTAAAGTAGCCCAATAAGACACAATCTGCATTTTAAGCTCCCTGGATGGCTTGAGCAAAATATTGCCGGGTTTGAAGGGGGGGGGGGTCAGTTTGCTTTTTTTAAAAAAAATTGGTTTCCTTTGTTTTCCAGCTCTGCAAAGATGCCCACTTCTCTGTGCGTGTGAGGTTGTTGTTGTTTTTTTCCCCCTAAGACAAATGCTAAAATTACAGGCCTGTTGCCACCACACATTAAGCCCTGCGGAGCGAAAATAGCTTTCCTTTTTTAAAAATTTTCAAATTCCAGGGGCATTGTTTCGCAGCAGCGTTGAGCTGCCTTGTGCGTTGAGCAGAGCTTTCTTTTGCGATAAATAGCCTTATTTTTCTGTTCAAAAGAACGCCTAGGGATTGGGCTGCAGCAAAGATCTTTTGTGGGGGCCCTGGTGCTTTTTTGAACCTGGTCAACGGGGACCTCGCCACAGCCTTTGGTCCGGTCAAGCTGACCAGACATTGTCCCCAGATGCGTGAAACGTTCCTGAGATGGTTTGCAGGCAAGGATGGTTGAAAAACTGAATGGGGGGAGCCATTTCTTTTGTGGAAGTTATACCCAGCGCCATAGAAAGGCATCTCCCTTTTAGCTGGAGATCCTTTCCATGGTGGGTTGCGCCGTGCTTGACAGCCACTTGTCTGAAACGGTCTACTAGTGTAGGGGGCTGGACTAGAAGACCTCCAAGGTCCCTTCCAGCTCTGTTATTCCGACGTCTTCTTGCAACTGAGGATGGCATCGCCATCTCTGTGGGGCGATAGTGAAGGTTAGAGAACGTCACCCAAGGAGAACTTCAAAGGGGTTTTAATCCACGCTTTCGTAACCCTAATTTACCCACCGGTGAACACAAATGAAACAAGCCAGGGCTGAATGTTTAATCCTAGATTCCTTGGCAGCCTCAGCTCCTAATTGGTCTCCCAGGGATGAGCCAGGCCCCTCTCACCTGTACGAAATCGCGTCAGACAAATGGGCCTTTTTTCCTTCAATACATTTTGTATCTGCTACAGAAGGGGGGCGGGGGGGAGAGTCCAGGTAGCAGGCATTTAAAACCATTTTATGGAAGTGAAGAACTGCCGTGCAGACAGCGCGGGAAGATAAATGGAGAAAAAGCAGGAAAGTGAAGCTTATCAAAGCCAGAAATTATTGGTTACCCCTGGTTGGTTGAAATGGGTCACAAAGTGACCGCCTTGTTAAGGTGGTTATTTTTTGCTTCCTGGTTTAGGCAGGCCGGGCCCCTCCCAGAGTTTCAAACGCTAATTTATACCGAGGATCTTGTTTCGGAGGAGCCCGCTCAGATGTTTGCCATCCCATCGCCAAGGGATCGCGATGCTTTTAAGCCTGTTGGGAATTGGGTGGGATTAGATGTCTAGCTTTGGTGGAGAAACCTTACCAGATCTACCTGGGTAGGGGGTCAAGAGTCTGCAAGACAAAATGAGATTACAGCAAGAGGCCGCTCTCTTCCGGGATCGGGGGGGGGGCACACCGCCACGACAGTTTTTCCATGATTTCTCGTGATATTAATATTCTTGATTAGGTTTTCCAATTGCTGCAGCCCTTCCTGGGTGAGGATAACTTGGTTATGATAGCTTATGCTGGGAAGTTTCTAGGTTAGATTATAGGTAGTCCTCAATTTACAATCCTTCCTTTCCTCCCTCCCTTTCTCTCCCTTCTCTTTCTCTCTCTCCCTTCCTTCTGTAGGATTTTAAAGATAAAACCCCGGAAGAACTATTGCTGTGGATATTAGCACAGCACAGTTAGCTACAAGTAATTAGAACTTCATTTCAGTGGCTTAACAGCGGTTAACTAGGTGAGTTTAAGTAATTAGCATCACTTTCTCCAATTTGGTCACTGCGTTCAGAGATACCGGATAGCATCCCTGGATGACCTCAGTCCTTTTTCGATCTTTGTCTGATTGTAGCGTCATTTGGCCTAGAGGCAGAAAACCTAATTTAATTTCTGTGTAAATAGGGGAGTACAATAACACCATTGAAAAGAATTGCTTGGTAAAATAATAACCCTCCTGCCTAGAAAATATTTTCCAGGTGGACTTGGTCTTGGTTTGGTTCATTGCAAGTGACCGTTGAAATTGTCGATTTGAGTTTGTTTTCCCCGTTTAGCCGTTGGGCTATAAAAATGGCCTTTCTGTTCAAGAGGAGAAGACAAGCCTATTTGGAAAGGCGACTGAATCATGAAGATGCATCTGAACATGCCTGACTGTAGAAATTGTTGGCAAAGCATTCATTCATTCATTCATTCATTAGATTTGCAATGCCCTGGTAAAACCACACTTGGAATATTGCATCCCGCTTTGGTCGCCCTGATATAAAAAAAAGATGTTGAGACTCTAGAAAGAGTGCAGAGAAGAGCAACAAAGATGATCAGGGGGCTGGAGGCGAAAACACAATGGCTGCAGATCTCCAGCGGTTTCGAAGGCAAGCAGGGCCGTTTGGGGACCTGGATCCCATTTTTATTCATCGCCTCCGTTCAGGCTGCAGACTTCAACTTGCTGGCTTTCGGAACATTGCAGCATCCATAATGATCAGCCCTGAAGTTCATTAAAAGCAGGCTTGAGATAAAGTCACTGGTGATTTTTGCACGAGCAGGTAGCCGGTGGAGGAAGGCTGTAGGCTGAAAATGAGTCATTTTCCCCTCTTCTGGCCTCCCCGTCAGTTTTGGAGAAGCCAGTGAGGTTCTGCAAAGAATCCAGACGTAGCTCTTCGTTGGCCTTGTTGCTTCCTCCAGGAATGGCCGTTCTTGGGATGAACCACTTGGAATTAGGACCTGTCTGGTCCTAATTCTCATTTCTGGAAGAGCCGGTTTGAGGGAATTCAGAACAAACTCTTATTCCAAATGTGTTTGTTTTTTTTCTTCTTCCAAAAGTCAACGGGACCTTATTTTTCCTTGAAGACATTTCACTTCTCCAGGACACTTCTTCAGTTCTTCTGACAAGCAAATATTCTCTTAACAGACATATGACTAACTTAAAGCAGCTGCAGTGACTCACTTAACAACTGGCCAGAAAAATGGTAAAATGGGGCGAAACTCGCTCAACACCTGTCTCGCTTAGCAACCGAAACTTTGGGTTCAGTTCTTGCCGTAAGTCAAGGACTGCCTTGTACGTAACCCGAGATTTTGGGACGTGCACGTCGGTGTGACTATTTCCTTCACTCTATTTATGCCACTATTTATTGATTTTTGCAGGTTTTTAAGCTTCTAAGGAGTGTCAGAGCTGCACCCCTTTAGCGTGGGAAGATGAGTGAACTTGATCAGTTACGCCAGGAGGCTGAGCAACTAAAAAACCAAATCAGAGTATGTATTAACTCCTCTCCTCTCTTTCTTCCTGAGAACTTTGGTTTACAGAATTTTCAAAGATTTGGGCCTGGTGGAAAATATAGACGTGATGGTTATGCCACCCTTTACCTGCCCTCTCTTTTATGACTGGTGGACTTCCAACTCCCAGAATTCCTGAGCCAGCCTGGCTCAGCTTGGAAGCCTCTCCCTGTCCCTTCAGCGTGGCTGGCTCAGGAATTCTGGGAGTTGAAGTCCACCAGTCATAAAAGAGCCAAGGTTGCCTACCCCTGGCCTAGCCTGTCTCCAGCATCCCAGGCTGAACAGGGGTGGTAGTAAACCCTAGATATCTTAACAATCTCCACGTAGGAAAGTTTTTTCTGTTTGGAATTTGAAAGCTACAAAGCTTTTTTTAAAAAATAAATAAATGTTACAGATCTTTGTAGATTGATACTGGGACAGTATGGCAACTTACCTCACTACATATGATTTGGTCTACCAGTGTATCATCCTTTTTTGCCCGTGGTTGAAGGCATTGGGTTGAGGGAAGATAAACTGATTTACCCATTGAAGAGACTAGTTGTAGCTCCGGGTTGAACTGTGGGGTCCTTGGTGCCCTCTGAGCTTGGTGGTTTTCTTGCAGACATTTCATGACCCAGCTAGGTGACATCAATCAGTGCGAGAAAGAGAGGGAGCAAACCCTCACTCCCTCGAGCACTGCTGGTGTTACCTAGCTGGGTGATGAAACGCCTGTGAGAATGCAACCAAGTTCGGATGCCATTAACTGATTTCTCTGATATAAATATGTCAAGCATGAAACAATCTGCGCTGAAAATCAGAGTCAAAATCCAGCAGAAGCTTTTGGGAGAAATTCTGTCCAAATCTCAGATTTCCTGTTTTCTCAAGCAGTGTTTCCCAACCTTAGACATTTTAAAATGTGTGGACTTCAATTCCCAGATAGGCCGGCTGGAGTATCCTGGGAGTTGAAGGCGTCTAATTGATTACACCTTGACATTTTTTAACTGCTATACTGCAGTTTTACTTTTTACAATCTCTTTTGCCTTGCATATACTCCCTTGACACAGCTGGCAAAGAGGGAGGAGAGCCTGTGGCTTGGTGGTTAAATCACTGCCTAGGATGTAAACTGCCCAGGTTCGAATCCCATAAAGGGTGTGGCTAACTGAAGAGAGCAGAATGAGCTCGAAATGGCCATCTTAGTCTCCCAATTTAATTCTTTAATTCTTTGTCAGAAAAAGAAATTTGGATATATATATATATTAGGGCAAGGGAACCTAGACTCATGATTGACAAGACATATTGCCTTAAATTCTAATCCTTGAGCCGGCCGAGCTGCAGAATTGTATTTAAATCTATTCCACCGGATTGCAACCTATTACGGCATTTCCTCTTAGCCCCGACTTAAGAGTAACAAGATAAAACTTGGAGTGGCTGTTTAACATTTGCCCAAACGTGGGCACTCCGCAGCTTGAAGCCGCTTGCGATGTCCAGCGGAAAGCGGTTTCACAAAGGGATTATCCAGCTTAGCTTGTCTGGAGCCTTTTGCGCACCAGTCCTCCCGTCCGTCCTAATCGGCCTTTTTGCCATTTGATCGAGGGAGACGCTACCTCTAATAGGCTTTATAAATTCTTGGCAGATTATAAGCTTCTGATAAATACCTCCTCCCAGGTATTTATTTATGCGTTTATGCAGGACGGCTAGCAGTAATTTTAAAACGGGAGCAGACCAAAAATTGGGGTTACTTTTTTTGTTGGTTTGTTTCTCCTCTGCAAGCATTCAAACATTCTTCTTTCTTGCAGGATGCTAGGAAAGCGTGTGCCGACGCTACCTTGGCCCAGGTAAGGGGTGTGTGTGTGTGTGTGTGAAATTTAATCAAAGTATTTTGTGGCCCTTGAAAATGGCGTATGGGGTGCTCCTTGAGGTATGGCCACAGTTGTTAGTGACTTTGGCCCCGTTTTGCTCTCGTTTTCTTAAGGATGACTTCAGTGGCTCTGATCAGTTTGCCCTCTTCAAACTTGGTTTAGGCGGCTAACAGACCAAGAGTTAGCCATGAATATTATTTATCTATGATCTTGGTTCCAGAAACCGGCATACATTTTGCTAAGCTACGACTGTTGTATGGAGACAGTGCAAAGATGCAAACGTATATTGTTGCCCCTGTGGTGTTTATGCTACAAACGTTCAGTGCGTTGATTGCCATGTCACCGAAATACAAGCTGTTATGTTTACTTGGCCATGTTACGAGGAAACTGGAAGGCTGTTTCCTTTTTACAAGCAGTTTCTTAGAAAGTCTGTTTATTTTGGGCAGCCAGACCTTTTTTGTGACACCTTCACGTTTTAACAAGTTCCCCTGAGCTGTTAATACTAAGACCTTGCAGACATACAAACCTTTTGCTATTACCTCATACTATAGGTCCGGAGTGCCCAGCCTTGGCCACTGACTTGTGGACTTCAACTCCCAGAATCCTCCAGCCAGCATGAGTGGCTAGGGAATTCTGGGAGTTGAAGTCCACAGGTCTTATATTTGCCAGGTTTGGACACCCCTGCTATAGTGGATCCTTCCCTTTCTCTTTTCTCTTTTCTCCTTCTCTCTCTCTCTCTCTCTCTCTCTCTCTCTCTCTCTCTCTCTCTCTCTCTCTCTCTCTCTCTCTCCTCCTCTCTCCTCTCTCTCTCTCTCTCTCTCTCCCTCCCTCCCTCCCTCCCTCCCTCCCTCCCTCCCTCTCTTTCTCCTTCCCTCTCTTTTCTCTCTCCCTCCCTCCCTCCCTCCCTCTCTTTCTCCTCTCTCTTTTCTCTCTCCTTCCCTCTTTTCTCTCTCCCTCCCTCTCTCCCTTCCTCCTTCCATCTCTCCCTCCCTCTCTTTCTCCTTCCCTCTCTTTTCTCTCTCCCTCCCTCTCTTTCTCCTCTCTCTTTTCTCTCTTTCCCTCTCTTTTCTCTCTCCCTCTTTCTCCTTCCCTCTTTCCCTCCCTCCCCCTTCCCTCTCTCTTTTCTCCCTCCCTCTCTGTCTCTCCCTATCTCCTTCCCTCTCTTTCTCTCTTCCTCCCTCCCTCTCTTTCTCCCTCCTTCCCTCTCTTCCCCTCCTCCCCTCTCTCCCTCCCCCCTTCTCTCTCTCTCTCTCTCTCTCTCTCTCTCTCTCTCTCTCTCTCTCACACACACACACACCTTTGGGTAGTTGCCTCTGCTGACAGATTATCTGCAATCTTCTCTTCAGATCACAGCCAACATTGATCCTGTGGGTCGTATTCAGATGCGCACTAGAAGAACTCTGCGGGGACACTTGGCCAAAATTTACGCAATGCACTGGGGAACCGATTCCAGGTAGGTTACCTGGGCTGGACAGGTTGTCCCCAGCAAGGATTCTTCCTCCTCCTGCTCCTCCTCATCATCATCATCAGAGGGAAGCGGAGGGGGGGGGGGAGATAGAAGGAAAGTGGGAAGAATGGGTGAGTCAGAAGAGATTCCTGGTTGTGCTGCTGCTATGTACAACACAACAGATGATAAGTTAATCCTCTAGTTACGACCTTAATTGGGACCAGGATTTCCACTGCAGTTGTTGAGTTGCACCCCAATTTTGCAAGCTTTTTTTTTTTTTTGGTCATGGGTGACAAGCAAATCAGTGCAGTACTTGGGGAACCAGGCAGTCATTAAGGGATTCTGGCTTCCCCCATTGACTGTGCTTGTTGTCGGAAACTGGCCGGGAGCATGTCAGATGGTGATCACATGGCCCTGGGAGACTGCGGCCGTGGTAAATACAGGCCAGTTGCCCAGCACCTAAATTCTGATTACGCGACGGCAGGAATGGCTGTTGGCCTGGGGACCAACGGCAGGTCACTTTTTTCCAGTACTGTTGGAATTTTGAACAGTCACTAAACAAAGCAGTTGTAAGTCAAGGACATATGTGGTACTTGACCATATTGGTAAGGGATGTCGGCGAGAGCTTCGGGTCCGTTAATTTTTTTGCACGGAGCTTTCAGGCCAAGCTCTGAAACACAAACACGGCGAGGAAAGAGTTATTTCAGCAAAGCCACCCTAGTCATTATTGAGTTTTGTAATTGTGCTTTCTTGCTGCAGAACCGAGAATATTAAGCGATGCTGACAAGTAAAGTTAACATTTATTCCTCTTTGTTGACAGAGACAAGTGAACTTGTTCTTCAAAAAGGCAGCAGCCTTTTCCTGAATTGACCAAAGCTGTATCGGAGGGGCTGTTTTTAATCCAAGGAAAAGAATCTTAACTAATAACTTGAGTTTGTTTCTTCAAGTCAAATAATCTGCGTTAACTCTTTTTTTAAAAAAAATGTTTATTAACTGTGTCACCACAGAATTCAAACGTAGAACAAGCTTAGAGTTAAAACGCTAATACATAAGTCAAGTCGACAAGCACCATTTAAAATATGCAGTTTCAATATATATATAATAAATAGCGCGGCACTATAAAATACTACAATCTGTGTTAGGCCTTTTGCAGATTGCTGAGTCTTTGTAATCTCACAGAAAAGATCTGAGAAGGTGGAAATGCCAGCAGATCCATCCCGGTTACTTTCAGATCAATTCCGATCCATTTTGACCAATCACACTTTCCCAGGTTCGGCCTTATATAACATAGATAGTCCTCAACAGATAGCTGTTCGTTTAGCGACCGTTCCAAGATTACGTGCAACCATTGTACCTTGCCTTACCATCACAAAGTCAAAATTCAGGCATGGATTTATGACGGTGGGCGTGTGTCCCAGGGTCACATCATTGCCAGCTTCCAGTGAGCAAAGTCAGTGGGCGAAGGTCAGTTTGCATAATGACTGTGTGCTTTGCTTAATGACCAAAAAGGCTGTAGAGTTGAGTGCGATTCCCTTAGCAGCTGCTTTGCTTAGCAATGCAAGTTCTGATCCCAATCGTGGTCGTGATTTGAGGATTAACTGTACAGGGGTTTCCTGTGGCTCCTTTTGGATGGTGAAATGGCCATTTAATAAAGAGATGCACAGATTTCTGCCCTCAATGCTTCAGGGTCTAAGCAGTGCAGGAACAACCAACACAGTTCCTAGAATAAAGACGATGTGATTTGCTGGAAAACTCTTGCGAAGGATTTGATCAATCGATTGAGGCCAATCTGGACCAGTTCACTGTATGATTAGCAAAATCAACAAACAAACCCACCCCACCATTTATTCTCCCTTGTCTGCCCTTCTAGGCTTCTAGTTAGTGCATCACAAGATGGAAAATTGATCATCTGGGACAGCTACACCACAAACAAGGTGAGAGCCGAACCAATTTCCTTGTTGTTGTTGTTGTTGAATTGCAGCAAATCAATTCAAAGACACGTCAACACAGCTTCGTTCCCTGAGGCCTGTGTTCTTTTCAGTCTGCCTTAAGAGTTAAGATACGCACTCTCTACTCCACAGAAGCTCTCTCGGGGAATTCAAACCACTCAGTGTCTCTCCGACCCTACCTCGCAGGGTTGCTGTGGGGAAAAATAGGCAAGCAGCCCATTTGCAAGCGATGCAGTGCTGGCAAAAGCCACATGAAAGGCCTTTCTCCCAAATAAAAAATAACCGCTTAGAAAAGGTACCAAATCAGCCATTTAGAAATCACAATTCATTTTCTGGGCTGAGAAAGGCCAGTGCAGTCCCATTTTTGTGGGTCAAAAGGTTGAATCACTTTTTTCAGGATCATTTATTGGTTAAAATACGACCTACCTTCAGTTTGTCAGGAAATTTACATCTCTGCCGCTTAGAGCCAAGCGAAACGTGTACCGGAATCACGAAAGCCTATTTGTTTAATTTAATTACCATTTATTTATTTTTTAAAATTTTTTTCCATACTTTTGCTAGGTCCACGCCATCCCTTTGCGTTCCTCTTGGGTCATGACCTGTGCGTACGCCCCTTCCGGAAACTACGTGGCCTGCGGTGGTCTCGATAACATTTGTTCCATTTACAACTTGAAAACGCGCGAAGGCAACGTCCGAGTAAGCCGCGAGCTGGCCGGCCACACAGGTAACGTCCGTCTCTCATCCAGACTCAAGTTCCTTTGACCTCTGGATGGTGCTCCGCCCTTGGAAATGCCGTCAGCTTGTTTGCTGGGCGACTCCTGCATATATCCCCAATTCTGGGTAAATTTTATGCCACTCCCACTCACCTTGTGTCAGGTGGCCATTCCTGGGCGGAGTGTCAACGCTGCTAACAGAGCTCCTGAGAGTAGACACTCAGCTCAGTACTTTGCTTTTCCCAGATACGTGGACTACAACTCCCAGAGTCCCTGGCCACCTTGGCATGCTGGGCATTTTAAGTCTGCCAATCAGAAGCATGCCCGGCTTTTTAAAAAGGCTGTTGAATTGTCTGCCTCCTTGTGGGTATATAAACTTCACTTCTCCAGATTGAATGTAGCATAGAGGCAGGGAATTTGGCTAGGATATAGGAAAGGTCTGCAAGATATTACTTAGTGGTTGAGTGATGCTGTGTATCCCTAGTCGTAGAGGAAGAGAGAGAGAGAGAACTGACCACATCTGTCCCAAGAGATTAAGCTGTTCATTATGCCAAATAGCTTTGGGGGCGGGAGTTCCCCCCAAGTGCCTGTAAAAAGTCGATAATCTCACTTTTGTCATAATAGACTTAAGCACGATCATCCAGAGAAATTCTTCCTCCGCAGTAGGGGGGGGGGGGTCTTGGGAATATCTCTGAATCAGCATCTGTCCACTTGCAGTACCATCCCAGAAGATTTGGTCTTACTAAGTTCAGAACGCTAATAAAAACGACGAAGGTTTAAGAGGAGCAGCGGATGGAATATGAATCTCGGTTTCGGGCATCGGGTTTTAAAAGGCTTCAGGACTAAAAGGATGGACAGCGTCTTGCTTTTTTTTTTTTTTTTAAATCGTTCTGTCTTGTATGAGATTTCGTCGTTCTGGTTTGCGTGAGGTTCCTTTGGGAACGTTGGTTGTTCTTTGCGGAGATCGGGTGTGAGGGCAGTGATGCAAATATACACCTGGAGGGTGAAAAATTTATTTCGCAAGGAAATCCCGTACAGTTGTAGTTGCCGTCTTGCGGATCAACCGAGGCGTTGATCCTCTCATCGGCGGATCCAGTTTGCTGGATGGGCTTGAGCACTCCTTGCGCCGTTTTTGCTTGCCTTTTGTCGGTGATCCTCGACAATTGCGGGATACAGAATAACCAGACTTGGAAGGGACCCACCAGCTGCTCGAGCAGGAGACTCAAGAGTTCAATGACGAGCAGTTTCAGCCACGTGTCTGGATGCTCTACTTCAATGGTTCTCAACCTTTTTAATGCCGCGACCCCCCCAACCGGTCGTAAGTCGAGGACTACTCAACTGGTGCAGCACCGTTTGCAGAATGGGACTTTTGGCAGGCTCAGCAGGGCAGAGACAGCCTGGACAATTCCTATTGGCTTTGGAAAGCCAATAGAATTAGACTCTATTCAAGAGAGTCTATTCTATTGGCTTTCAAAAGCTAATAGAATAAAAGGGAGGAGCACAGCTAAGGAAAAGAAGAAAAAAATGGCGGACTGCATTGTTTGGCGACCCCCGTGAAATGGTCGTTCGACCCCAAATGGAGTCCCGACCCAACAGGTTGAGAACCACTGCTCTACTTGAATAAAAAGCACGAGGGTTCTGTTGTAAGAGACAGGGGCTGTATACATGTGAACCCATGCACACCAGGTTTTGATGGTTTGATTTTGGCTTGGCAAGTATAGACAACGCAGGAAAGGTGCCTGCATCCCCAGAGATGTCCCAGCAAACGTCCAAAGATATACACAGCAGGCAGAGACGGGGGGCTCTAATTTGGGCGCGCCTCTGCTTGCCCAGCCCAAGGATCAGGATTCAGCTCCTTGTCAGGTTGTTGCACACCTGAGGGCAGGTTGAGTCTGAGCAACTGGCCACCCCAGTTGGAAAGATCAAATAACACACCTGCGTTGTAGGAAAAGGCACTGTTGGACTGAACCAGATCCTGCGTGGAGAAGATCCCACCTCAAGCCCCACTTGACCTCCGAAGACTCATCACCTGGGCAGGCTGATGGTTGTCTCTGAGCCAAAACAAAACAAAACAAAACCACTGCATCTTCTCAGCTCACGCACTTGTCCTCCAGACACAATCCCGAGAGACAAGGTGTTTGGTTTCAGGTGTTCCCAAGCACGCTGTGGCCTCCAGTTTAGAGCTTTGAATCGGGATCTCTCCCAACACCTTGGTAGATATTTCCCTTCTAGGGCAGAGGTGTCCCACCCTGGCAACTTTAAGACCTGGGGATGTCGACTCCCAGAGGCTGGCTGAGGAATTCTGGGAGTTGGAGTCTTTAAAGTTGCCAGGGCTGGACACCTCTGTTCTACAGGAAAGGCAGGGTAATTTAATGCCTAAAGATGGGCCCATCACTACAGATTATTTTCATATATCCTAGCACAGCACAGGGAGAAATTTGCATTTTTTCTCGCGGCCCCGGTCCCTAGCGGTAGCCATCATCCATCTCTGCTCTACGCCGCTTCTTAACTCGGGAGTTGTGAGGTAACACAACTCCTCTCCCGAGCCAAGTTGTGAGGTAACACAACTCCTCTCACTCACTAGGACATCCAGCAGCCCTTATTTTTAACGCTGTTCTTTCTGTTTGCAAAAAGAAAAAAGGAAAAATTAAAAAAAAACACTGGAAGGTGCACCTCAAGCTCAGAGACTCTTCCTCCCACTTGCCAGCTTGGTTCTGGAAAACCTTGGGCGGTCCTTAAAAGGGACATACACGCGCACACACACAGCCCAGCAAAGTTGTGCACCCTGCTGGGTTCGCACTGCTGCAGGCTTTTTGGATGGAGACTAAAAGCGGCTTTGTGGAAACAGCTTCCCAGGGTGGGTGGGTGGGGGATTCGAGGTTATAACGGCAGCCAAGAGCTATTTATACATCTGGCCAGGTTTACAGGTGAGAGTCAGACGGGAGCATATCCTGAATAAGCCTGACCTAAAGCTGGGGGGGGGGGGAAGGATTTATGGCAAAGGGCTGTAACCATTTCCCCCCCCCTCCATGTAAGACACTAAGAAAAAGACACAGGCATGTCTTGGGCAGAGGTTTGAAGCTGCAGGACACCAAACTCTTGGGTTTATTGCTTCTTACATACTTGTTACATACATAGGCTTTACCATTAAATGCTGACAAAGGTTTCTTCATTGGAAAATGTCTTCATGTAAAGCAGTGGTTCTCAACCTGTGGGTCGGGACCCCATTTGGGGTCGAACGACCATTTCACGGGGGTCGCCAAACAACGCAGTCCGCCATTTCCCCCCCCTTTTCCTTAGCTGTGCTCCTCCCTTTTATTCTATTGGCTTTGGAAAGCCAATAGAATAGACTCTCTTGAATAGAGTCTAATTCTATTGGCTTTCCAAAGCCAACAGGAATTGTCCAGGCTGTCTCTGCCCTGCTGAGCCCGCCAAAAGTCCCCTTCTGCAAACGGTGCTGCACCAGTTGAGTAGTCCTCGACTTACGACTGGTTGAGGGGGGGGGGTCACAGCATTTAAAAGGTTGAGAATCACTTGGTAAGATGCTAGTCCTCATGACTTAGGTTCCTTGTTTGGACCGACTCTCTCACTTTCTCTTTTTCAGGCTATTTGTCCTGTTGCCGGTTTGTGGATGATAATCAGATTGTGACCAGCTCTGGAGACACCACTTGGTAAGATCCAGACTTGGTAGCACGAGTGTCGACGGTTTGCGTACTCAACAAAAATGTTGATTTTTTTTTTTTCCGGTTGAAATACTGTTCTCCCTTGCCAGCCTTGAAATCCTGCAGATACATAAAATGGGAGGCTGTTCTGAGCTCAAATGCTCAAGCAGAAGAGAGGGTTTATTTTTAGTATCCCAAAAGCTTCTGCCGGTTCCTATTAGGAGTCACAACCCCTGTTGGATTTGCCGCCAATCCTCCCCCCCCCCCGATGATCCCCAGGAAAAAAAGGGAGTCCTTTGCCCCAGATTTAATCAAGATTTTTATGATAGTCAAAGACGCCGGTTTGTATCCTGCCTGGCCTAGAATGAACATCTTTTTTCCGTCTCCATCCTTGCTTTGATTTCCGTAGATCGATGCAGCCGTCCGTTTATCTCGCCTAAACGGCAATACTTGTCTTTGAAGGCTAGGATCTCCCTGGCCTGTCCCAGCAGCCTACAGAGCGTTGGCCTCTTATAAACCCCTTCAGATAATGGAGATACTTGCTTTTTAAAAAAGAAAAAAAATTGAAAATAAAAGGCGGGTCTTCTTAAGGCCTGCGAATCGGAGATGGGGAGACCTGTCCATAAACTAACCTTATTTGTGTGCCTGAATCCAGCAGAGAGCTAAGGAAGGGGGGGGGGGGAGAGACCCTTAGCAGACTTAAACTCAGTTGATCTGATGGTGGCTTTTTTCTTCTCCTGCACTGCTGCAGCGCCCTGTGGGACATAGAAACCGGACAGCAAACCACCACCTTCACCGGCCACACCGGAGATGTTATGAGCTTATCCCTCGCTCCGGATTCCAAGTGTTTCGTGTCTGGTGCCTGCGATGCCTCAGCCAAGCTGTGGGATGTCCGAGAAGGGATGTGCAGGCAGACTTTCACCGGCCATGAATCCGACATCAATGCCATTTGTGTACGTATGAAGGTGGCAGGCGGTAAGGCAGTATCTGTCTACGCTCTCTATGTCTGTCATTCATCTCTGTCTGTCTGTCTGTCTGTCTATTATCTATCTATCTATCATCTATCTCTGTCTATCTATTTCTAGCTATTATCTATCATCTGTCTGTCTGTCTCTATCTATCTATCTATCATCTATCTCTGTCTATCTATTTATTATCATCTATCTATGTCTATCTATTATCTATCTATCTATCTATCTACCTACCTACCTACCTACCTACCTACCTACCTACCTATCATCTATATCTGTTTCTATCATCTATCTATCTATCTATCTATCTATCTATCTATCTATCTATCTATCTATCATCTATCTCTATCTATCTCTTTCTAGCTATTATCTATCATCTATCTCTGTCTATCTATTATCATCTATCTATGTCTATCTATTATCTATCTATCTATCTATCTATCTATCTATCTATCTATCTATATCATCTATCTACCTATTATCCATATCTATATCTATTTCTATCATCTATTTGTCTCTCTGTCTGTCTGTCTATCTATCTATCTATCTATCTATCTATCTATCTATCTATCTATCTATCTATATCATCTGTCTACCTATTATCCATATCTATATCTATTTCTATCATCTATTTACCTACCTACCTACCTACCTGTCTGTCTATCTATCTATCATATAAGCTCATTACGTCGTCGCTGTAGCCGGTGAAGGTGGTGGTTTGTTGTCCCACAGGCACTGTGGCAATGCAGGAGAACAAAAAAGCCACCATCCTCGTAATAAACCCGTTTCCTTTTCCCCCGCCCAGTTCTTCCCCAACGGCAACGCTTTCGCCACCGGCTCCGATGATGCCACGTGCCGGCTGTTTGATCTCCGTGCTGACCAAGAGCTCATGGTTTATTCCCACGACAACATCATCTGTGGCATCACCTCCGTAGCGTTCTCCAAGAGCGGCCGTCTCCTGCTCGCCGGTTACGACGACTTCAACTGCAACGTGTGGGACACGCTCAAAGCGGACAGAGCAGGTCAGGCGGGAAGGGCAAAACGGGGAGGAAGAGGGGGGGGAGGACACCTGGCTGGGGAAAGAACATCCCGAATGGGAAAGGTGAAACCATCAAAATGGTGGATGAGAAAGGGAGGGAGGTGAATGAATGAATGAATGATATAAAATCCTTGAGCAAATTCAGCCACTCATGATTATTTTCCCCTCCCTCCCGGTTTTTTCCTTCCTTCCTTCCTTCCTTCCTTCCTTCCTTCCTTCCTTCCTTCCTTCCTTCCTTCCTTCCTTCCTCCCTCCCTTCCTTCCTTCCTTCCTTCCTTCCTTCCTTCCTTCCTTCCTTCCTTCCTTCCTTCTTCCCTCCCTCCCATCTCCTTCCCTCCCTCCTTCCCTCCCTCCCTCCCTCCCTCCACACATGCTTATATGACATGACTGTGTGTATATATTTGCTTCTGGGCTATACTGCAACTCTCCTCCCATGTTGCGTTTTATTCTCCTCTTCTCTCCCCCCCCTTTGCCCCCCCCTCAGGTGTCTTAGCCGGCCACGATAACCGTGTCAGTTGCTTAGGAGTGACTGACGATGGCATGGCGGTGGCAACAGGATCGTGGGACAGCTTCCTCAAGATCTGGAACTGAGGCCTGTAGGTACCCATTCCCACGCTCCCCTTGCCCGACGCAGCGGGCGGGCCAGAATCTGCTTCCATCTTTATACTTTAAAGCGGATTACGGGGTTGGGGGGGCAGACCAGTTCATTGGCTTCCTTTTTTTTGAAGAAGAAGAGAGCAATGGAGTTGAGCCTAATCCTTGCCTGATCTACCTCTAGGGGCAGAGAAACCATCATTGTTATCCAATGATCATCAGGGGTTTCTGCATGCTAGTTTAAGGGATGCTCAGTCCGGAGCAGGTGATAAACTGCTCCTTGTCTGTTTCTCTGCCCTGTGCTTGAGCCATCGGGGGGGGGGGGGGCTCATTTCCCTCCCTTGCCAAACCCAGTACAGGTAGTCCTCGACTTACAACGGTTTGCTTAGTGACTGTTCAAAGTCACAACACCACTGGGGGGGAAAAAAGCGTCTTGTGACCATGTCCCACGACCCTTTGCAGCATCCCTGGGGTCATGTGATCCAAATCCGGCCGCGTGATAACTGGCACGTGGAGCAGGGTCCCTGGGATCACGTGATCCCTTTTTCTGAGACGCAAACTCAGTGGGGGAAGCCAGAGCGTGTTGCTAACTTAACCACAGTGGGGCAAGGAAGAAGGCCATAAAGTGGAGCAAAACCCACTTCTCGCTTAGCAACAGAAACTTTGAGCTCAGACTACTTATAATATATATATATATATATATATATATATATATATATTATATATATATATATATATAATATATATATATATATATATATATATATACACACACCAATGGCTTTGCTTCCAGGATCTAACCAAGGTTTGTTTGTTTTCTCTCTCTTTGTGTGTATTCTCTGGCAGGACAGTCCGTGAACTCCCCACTGATCGGAAGAATTTTTTCCCCCAACGGTTGAAAGTTTAAAATAATGTATCCAACTCAATATACTAACTTGGATCTCCCCCCCCCCGCCTCTCTCTTTCCCCTACCCCCTTCCTCCCCCACCACCAAAGGCAAGATCTTTTTCACGTCTCTCTCGTTCGGCCGAAGCAAAAGAGCACAATTCTCTCTCAGAGAGCACCCCGCGGTTGTTACACACCAAGTGAATAGCAAAAGAGATCAAAATTGTGCATTCCATTGGGGACCACGTTTTTATTTTACTTTATTTTTTTAGTTCGGTTTGTCTAGAGAGAAACAAACAAACAAACAAACAAACTTAAAAAGAAATCACACGCTCGTGTAAGCATGCCGGGGCAAAACTTAAAGCGAACTAAACGATGATAGATAAATAAGGAAAACAAAACAAGCTTGTGAAGCAAGATAAACCTTTTACGTTTCACTGTAGTTTAAAAAAGAATGGCAAATCGTATTGACTTTATGGGTTACGGTGGGAAGGCTTCGTGTTAATCTTTTCAAAACTTAGAAGCCGCGTTCGTAGCAAGATGGATATATCCCCGTTTTGTTTTGGGGTTTTTTTTTGGTCCATGTTTCCATTTCCTTTCCCCCTTTTGTTCAATTTTATTTTTTTTTTCCTTTTTTTTAAAAAACAAAACAAAAATGCAGTTGGCTTTTTATGGTCCAACTTTGAGCCAAGAGAATGGAGTCCCAAACCAGATTTTTTTTTTCTGGGCTTGTTAATGCTGTAAATTTATTCCCTGGGTTTTCTTTTATTTTTCTTTTGCTTCTTTTTAAAAAATTTTTTTCCTGTCTTAATGTCACAAATTGTTGCACAAATATTGCATATATATGATAATGTTAAGAAGATAACCAAGCACACTCTGTACATGGTATTGAATGTTTTTTTAAAAACAAACAACTTTTCACTTCTATGGGTAACAAAAAAAAAATTATGTTCCCTCTTTCTATTTTTCCTAGCCCCAATCTCGCCTCGCTGGGCATTTTTCATTTCCTACCTGTTTTGTTTGATTTATTAACGCCGAAGACCATCCCATAATCTCAATAAACAACTGGATTTGGTGGACTGGGGTTTCAGGAGCAGGGCTGGGAGGGAAAAAAAAAAAAACAACCAACCAACCAATGGAACCCTTGGCTAGGTCTGAAGCAAGATCCAAATTGATTTATTATTTTTTTAATGAAAAACACGACCTGAGATTTTTTTTCTAAATTAAACAATTATGATGGAAAGGGGGGGGGGAGAAGCGTTTGGGATTTGCCAATTGGGGCTGGATTACTCTTAGAATCGCATGCTGTAGAAACGCTGAAGTGCATAATAAAACTAAGACGTCCTTCTCTTGTTTTTTTTTTTTTTTTTTTCGAGAAATAACCTAATCCTTTTTTTTTCTTTTCTTTTTTTTTTAAAAAAAAAGAGAAAGCAAGCAAGCAGCTTGTAACCATTGCTGATATTCTTTACTGCCGCTACTGGGATGCATAAAACGGAATCAACCGAAGAATGAAAAGTCTCCAGACTTTTGCACATCTGGAAATAGGGTGATACTCGTTATTTTTAATACGTTTTTTCCCCTATTCCTTCTCTCTCCCCCCCCCAAAAAAAACATTGAAAGCAATGTTTGAACACTCAACACTCAATTAAGCCCTTTTTCTGGCTTTGCATTTTGAAAGTTGACAAGCCTTGGGGACAGCAAATGGTTTGGATAAACTTTTCAATTCTTCCTCTCCTCCTAACCTGCCTCCCCCCCTTTTTTTTGCAGCAGCAGCAGTGATTTTTAAATCCATTTCCTTTTCACTCTCTTGCGTTTCCCCCCCCCCCCCGCGACATTCTGTACAAAATGTGCTGTAATCGTGCATTTTTATTATTATTATTATTATTTTTTAGGCCTGGATTTGGCATCTTGAATTTTGGGATATTTTTTTTTTGATTTTTTTAATCACCCTCTTTCCTCTTCCCTCGCCCTTCCCCCCCACCCTCCCCTTGAGATAAGTCTCTGTAGAGCTTCCTCTGCACCCTCTGTATCCTTCACTTTTTTTGTATTTAATTTTAAAAGTCGGTGTACTTCAAGAAAGCTGGATGCCAGATAGATCCTATATTAAAATGTACTGTTATTTAAGATGTAATAAAGCAGTTTGACATGAACGGCTGGCGGGCCTTCGTGGTTTTTGCTGGAATCCGAACCTGCATTTTGGGTTTTTCCTGCTTCGCAAAGTATGGCTGAGTGGCCTGGTTCCTCCAGTTTATAGGCCATAAACCATGGATTGCTACCACTGCAGAGCTTCCAGGACACACTAAGCCAAAACCAACTGGGTTTAGATGAAATGTGATCGGTAAGCATAATTCATTTTTTTTTGTGTGTTTGGATTGCACAACACACAATGGCCCAGCACAGAATAAGCTTGGAACTATGTTCTATATCCCAAAGTACAGAGGAGCTATTATTGATGTTTATTAGCCTGTGTCTTAGCAGGTTGTGTGAACTAACCCATCTTGGGACCCTATCTGGAAGCTGGTGTGTGATGTAGGTTTTATCTGTAATTGGATCATTATATACATGTTCTATAATCTGTAATGTCTGATGGTAGTTTTATAATTAGAATTGTGATCCCTCTACCCACTAAACTAGCCTTGAATTCTCTTTGTTTAAAGCCAAGCCACTGAGAAGTGTGGAGAGCAGGCCCTAAATCGTGCAAAAATAAAATAGGCTTATGCTCGTGGACTGGTGATTACGACGTTCTTATTTTTTTTTAAAGCTGTCTGCAAAGAGGATTTCCCACTAGGTTCTTGCCGTCTCAACGTCTCGGTTTAAAATCATTCACGTTTGTGTTTGTTTAAACACACGAACCCGGCTTCATGGCTAATTGCACAGGCCTGGAGCCTGCTAGGTGAGGATGATGGGTGCTGATATCCCACACCTTGAAGGAGACAACGACGGGGAAAAGACACGTTTGCTGTACCACTCGTGCAGACATTGGCTATCTTGGCAAAGGCCCTGGAAAACTGAAAAGGATTTCCCAAACTCCAAAATGTGGGGCTTGTGTGTTGATGCATTCGTACATGCCCACCGAACTCAATTCAGATAATCAGGTTTGGGAAATGCTTGAGCAGAAGAACAACAACAAAAAGGTAAAGTGATCCTGGAATAGGGCATGGCTGGTTGGCTGGAAGAAGAGCAAAAATCAAAATATTTATAAAAGCTACTTTTCTCCCATCGAAAGAGGGGAAAACAGGGAACTTGACTCCTTCTTTCTCTGCCAAGGCAAGATGCAAACCCATCCCCAGGCCTTGATAGTTGGAATCGGCTCCAAAATGAACTGGCTTCTCTTTGGTGCAAAAATCCCAGCCTTTTTTCAGTGGCTGGAGTGGTGGCATCGCTGTTGTGGTCCCGGGAAGTCTCAGTGGCAGCCAAGCCGAGAAAGAAGCTAGCCAGGAAGTGGGGTAGGAGGGCTGGCTCTGATCCAGGATGAGTCATCCCTGCTTTCAGAAGGAATTATGTTTGCTTATTCAAACCGCTCTCTGTCCAGTAGCTTTTCGTAACCGTTATTTTTTTTTTAATGGTTTTGAGTCGCGAGGGAAACCAATGGAAAAACAAGGTAAAAGAGGTGATGGGTGATTTGACAGACGCATTTTCCTGCCTCGCCAACTGGGGATCGCTTGGTGGTCTCCTGTCCAGCTTGAACTCTTGATTAGCTTCTGGGTCCACACAAAGTTGGCAACGTGCCTCCTCTTATTTATATTAAGACATTTTACATGCCAAGCTCACTTCTGGGCGTTGACAAGCTCGACACGTCCTTTTTTTCCACACTTCTGCATTAGATTTTTTAAAAACAAGGAAACTTCACATGCTGGCTTATGGGGGGGGGGGCATGTAGAGAGTTACCATTGACCAATGAAATCTATCTGAAAAAAATAAAATCCATCTTTTGTTTTGTTAAGTTACTCTGCCTAAGTCTAAAAATGCCCTTACCTGTTTGATCCACTAGAGGGAACCGTTTCAACACTTAGCTTTCTTCAAAGGACTGAATGGAAGAATTTTGCAAACCAAAAATAATCTTGCATCTTTTGTTTATTTTCTATTTTCTCTCTGCAATGAGGCTGCCAAGACTGAAAATGGCCATAATCATCCTCATTTCTCCAAGGTACACATTAGGCGGAACAGATAACTGGTTGTAAATGAGGTGAGCTGTTAAATGGCAGACAAAATGGAAAACCTCCAGAAAAAAATAATGAGATAAAAACCACTTTGGGAAGGAAAAAAAACAACCAGAAATTTGAATTGGGATCCAAAGTAGTGGGGAGGGACTGCTAGGGTCCCTTCCCTCTTTAATTCATTTTTAGTAGATATCTGTAGGTATTCAACTATCAAATAAATAAATCATCCTTTGGGCAAATCCTGTGGTTATTTCACAGGCAGCTGGGGTGGTTTAGCATTATATTTGATTCTTGCAGCCAATAATTAAATTATTTAGTAAAGAAATAAGTACAAGAGGACTAGCGATCTATTTTGCAATGGGGGCTAAAACTAGCAAATTAATTAGCAAGCAAGTTCTTTCTGATTGACATGACCTTAAGATAAGGGCTATTGAGGAAAATCAGATTTATTATTTGCTCATTTTAGAAGAGACAACAGTTAGGGGTAGATTTTATTTGTCAGTTCTTCCAGTCTTTGTGGGCTTCCAAGCTTGGGGAAAAAAAGAGCCTTTTTTCTCTCTCTCAGTTCCAAATGCTTTCGAGAACACCCAGTGCTCTCTGCCAGCTGGGGCTTACAGGTATAAATATAGCTGTAGATGAAAAGAATATTAATGTACAAAACAGGCAAAGGAGAACAAAGGCTTATTGATGTTCAATGCATGTGCAAATTCCTAGTCATCTGGACCTGATGGCTGACGGATGAAAACTGCACTGATTAAATTAATAGGGGAAATAAACACAATTTGTTAGCCAGAGTTTTATTTGTAGAGCTCAATCTGCAGCAGAGATTCTGTCTGAAGTATCAGCCATCTTTGCCTAAACTTTCAAAGTCTGGAGTCTGGTAGACTTTCGGATATTTTGTGAATTTTTGAAAAAAGAGGGTTTTTTTTCCCTTTATGCATTTTTTGACCTCTTTTCATCCTAAGAAATTTTTATATTCATGCAATCGTGGTTTGGAGCGGAAAATGTAAAATGCAGCTTTGTATTTGACAGTGGCCTTGCTACATCATTTAACAAAATAAAATTCAATTTATTCAGTCAACTGGCCGAGTTTTTGTCACTGACAGCATATGAATAGCGCAAATAAATGAGTGCAAATAAATGAGCGCTATATATATATTTTAAAAAAGCAAAGGGGAAATCAGTGCACTGATAAAGTTGCCAGAGATCTGTGGCAAAAAATGGATCAGAAGCACTTCATCTTTGCTTCTTAGGACCTTAAAGGGCACCAGGTTCATCCAATCCAGCCAGTCCTCAACTCACGACCGCAATGGAGCCTGTCGATATTTCTGTTCCTAAGCAAGACAGTGGTTAGGTTGATTTTACAACCTCTGCCACAGCTGTTAAATGAATCACTCCACCGCCTCTGAAGTTTCACCATGGTACCCTGGGGATGCTGCAAGGGTCATCGGTGAGAAACACATCACGTGCTGTTGTCATTCTGAACAGTCACTAAACGAGCCGTTGTTAAGTCGAGGACGACCTATAATGCCCCTTTATTTGCCCTGGGGCTTAGAAGCCAGGAGGCATAGCTCAAGAGGGAAAAGCCAGAGGTAGCCAACCCTGGGCTCTTTTGTGCCTCGTGGACTTCAACTCCCAGAATTCCTGAGCCCGCCATGCTGGCTCAGGAATTCTGGGAGTTGCAGTCCACGAGGCACAAAAGAGCCAGGCTTGCGAAAAGCGATGCGGAGGGAAGAGGAAATGACCCCATGCTGGCATAACTTCCCCCGTTAAAAGTCTGTTTGCTCTTTTTCACACGGGGCAGATATTAACCCAGGATGCCGAAAAGAAACTGATTTATCCGGGGAAGATTTCCACCGCTCTCCTCGCTGTCTGCCTCCCTTGTCCAGCCTGGCAAGGCAACAAGGGACCCGTGACGCAACGCCGCGCGCCTCTCTAGCCTTTTCCAGCTCTTGAGGCCATCCGGCCGGCGCCAACGCGCAGGCGCGGCGCCTTCCCTCACGGAGAGCAGGAGGAGGAGGGCGCTGAGGCGGGCCGAGGGCGGAGAATGGGGGCGGTGCGTGGCGGGATCCGCGGCTGCGGCCGCCCTCGGCCGGATTCGCTGGCCTGGAAGCGCCCGCGGCGAGCAGCAGCAGCGGCGGCGTCGACGGCGACGACCTCAACGGCGGCGGCGGCGGGAGGCCTGTGAGGCCCACCGCGGAGGCGCTCGGACGGAGGGGAGCGGCGGAGGAGGGGCCTGGCGCGAGGGTGAGTGACGTCAGCGGGAGGGGCGGGGCCAGATGGGAAAAAAAAGGAAGGGGACGCTCGCCAGTTCGCCAACCTGGTGCCCACGGTCCCCCTCCCCATCTGGTGCCCCTCCAGGGACGCTGGACCACAACTCCCATCATCCACCTAACCCATACCAGGCTTTTACCCCCCCCCCCCCCAAGGGGATCATCCTGCCCATCATTGCGTGGCTGGGGTGTTTTACACACACACACCCACACAAACACACACACACAACCCGCCTCCTTATTTTCCACCTTTGCTGGGCTCTTTGTGGGTCTGTTTCTTTATTGCAGCAACGCAACTCCAAACCTGCTGGGCTGGTTAATGGTTCAGCCAACCACGATCTCTGGGATTAATTCAGTCACCCATTCAAGGTGTTATGTAAATGCCGCCTTTTCCAACCGGGATGGCATCAACTGTGTGTGTGTGTGTTCTTAGGACATTTGATTGCGTTATAATTCCAACTTTCTTACAGCCTGCTTCCAAATGCACCCAATTATAACGTAATAATAATTGATATTTATTTATTTATTTATTTATGAGACTTATATACCGCTTTAAGTGCAAGCACTCTCTAAGCGGTGTACACCAGTAAGCAATGTATATATATATTTACATTGCCCCCAACAATCTGGGTCTGATCAATCTGATATCCCCAAAGGTGCTTTTTTCCAAAAGGCAACTGGACTTTCTTGGGGTTTTTTCTTTCTTTCTTTTTTCTT